TTTTAAAAAAAAAAAAAACAAATTTCAAAATTCCGGACGATCTCCCTAGGGGTCATCAAACGACCCTTAGGGACACTGTCAGGAATTTTGAAATTTGTTTTTTTTTTTAAAATGACGCTTGCGTCCTTTAAATAGTTTTTTATTATTATTTTTTTTGCAAATTTAACTTTCTTCCAATGTGTAACTCAGATTTTAGGGTATATTTGGTAGGCCAAATTTAACTTTTACCCTTGCACCACTGTGGATGGCTTTAACATGGTGAATTTTGGCCTGAGGATAATATACACGATGTGAAGAATATTTTCACAGATATTCAACCCTTGGATCATCTCTATATGGGCGAACAAGACTCACGTGACATCACATAAATAGATCGTCGTCTAATCCAGGCTAGAATGACGGACCACGCGCATCTATTTGCCAAGTTTGATATGTTTGGTTCACATGCATCCATCGTACTAATCCGTTATGTAAGGTTAGGGTTTTTATGTTTTTTATTTTGATGAAGGATAGGTTCCAAAAAGGGTGGACTTAAGATTGGATTAGCTAAAAAAATTGGCAGTTCTCCCTCTCGATCGGCATTGTTTACCCTACTTCACCAATGAACTCGGCCAAAACGAACCAAGAACAAAAGCCAATAGTTTATATATGTTTGGATTTTAGAGTGCTAAAGATGTATTTTTATTTATATTTGAATTTAGAAATTGATAGGATTTAAAATCTAAAAAGTTATGTTTAATGTGTTGAGTAAATTTATTTGAGATGTTGGATTGTTAAATATTGAAGTAGATGATATATTTAATTTGGCATGTTGGATTGTTACAAGACTTGTATGATATAATTTTCTTAAAAAATTTCATTGACTTGGTGTAGATGAGCTATGTTAGTAATTTGGTTAAATTTATACTTTAATTCTTGAGGACCTGGGTGATATAACCCTCTCCTCATGAGTGTGGGTTAAAAAAACCCACACCTCCAAAGCTTCCTCTCTTCTNAAATTATAAAACTTTTTAAAAAATAAATTAAACAGTAATTTATTTTAGAATTATTATAATTATTTATAATAAAAACCCGTGCATTAGCACGGGTAACAAATTCTTGTGTCTAGAATAGATCAGTTGCATATTTTTGTATAAAATTGATACAGTTATAAATCATATATTGGTGTTTGGTTTGATCAAATTTTATGAAAAAAAACTACCAAGAGCACCAAAGTATTGCTTTGAGTTAGTTAAAGGATAGATATGTCTTTATATATTTTTTTTCTTGGTACAAAGGACTATTGCCTAAATTACAATGACAAGAGGAAGATACACCACTAAAGCCCTGCTTGGTAGCACTGTAAACCTTCGCAGCAAGCAAATGTTTCCAGCTACAAATATTTGCCGTTGTAAACATTCACCATGGAAACATTTTTTGTTGCTTGATACTGTTATTGTAAATAAACGGTGATTTGCTTGGTAAGCACTGCCGTAAATGTAAATTCCAGATGAACATCCAAATTTGTTTCAACTTCAACCCCAAATACATCAACCTTACCTCTCTCCTTACTCCCTTGAAACTTTCAGGTTCATCAAGTTAATTGGGAACCAATTAATTGAAACACAAAAATTGATCAAGGGAAGTAACTTTGTACTCCTAAATTAAATAGATTTTACAGATTTTATTTTTGGCCTAAACCGATTAAAATTGAACCTGTAATTTCTGTTTTTAGCTTAAATTTGATTGAAATTGGTTCCAAATCTACCCTAAAATCAAAAATATACCCAAATCTACCCTAAATTAACTTCCACTGCCACAAAAATTTTATTCATGGCCAAAAAAAACTTTTGATTTCTGACCTAATAGACTGAAATTAAACCCAAATCATACTACAAAATTAAACATCTAGTACCCAGAATTAACCAAAATCTACCCTAGAACTTAAATAAAAAAGAGATTTTAGAATTTCAGTCCCAAACCTACCCATTTCGTTGATTAGAGTAGTGTTTCTTCTTCCCTTCCATCTTCTTCTTCTTCTTTCTCTGAAAGAGAGAGAAAGTGAAAGAGAAGGCCCTCTTTCTGGGAGAGAAAGTAAGATAGAGCTTCTTTTGAGGGAGAGAGGAAGGGATAGATGGTGATCTTGGTAGAAGAAAGAGGAGAGAAGAGTACCCCATGTCTGCTATTTCTGGATTTGGTCGAGAGAGAGATCAATCAGAGAAAAAGATATCAGAGAGATGTGGGAAAGTTAGCTCAGACATGGAGAGAGAAAGATCGATCAGAAAAAGTGAGAGAGAGGAGAGAGAGAGAGGAGAGAGATGTGGGAAAGTTAGATCAGAGATGGAGAGAGAAAGATCGATCAGAAAAAGTGAGAGATCAGAGAGAGAGAGAGAGAGAGAGAGGTGGCAACGCCCAGTTTGGAGAAGAGCTCGATCAGTATCAAGACGAGGGTTTTTTTTGGGTTTGTTGGAGTGTTGGGCTCTTTTAGAACAGGGCTAGTCATACACCTCAAACCCACCAAAATTTTATTTGGGTTTGAGGTTCTGATGTTGCGTAGGGGCAATGGGATTGGGCAAAATCTCGCGTAAGATTTTTGCGATCCTATTTTTTTAGGGATTTTTTAAATGTTCTCGCGTAACATTTTCGCGATTCCCATTTTTTCCTTTTTTTTTTAAGATTTTGTTTTTATTTCTCGTGAAAGACTTCCACGACACTATTTTTTAGGATTTTTTTTAAAGATATTTTTCGCGGATAAGTTTCGCGAGGTCTACTTCTCGCGGATAACTTCCGCGTCGCGGAAGATTTCAACGGATACCCTTAACCCCTACAGAACACCCAAAACTAGTGGTTTAGGTGAAGGTTCTGAGGCACCCACTGGCCATGACTTTTTATTGGCTTTGAGGTTCTGAGGCACCCACTAGCCATGCTCTTAGGGCCGGGAACGATTGTTGAATATTTTGCCTAATAATGTGGGACCGCGGGAAACATTTACCATAAATAATATTTAGAATATGCATACCAAGCACGCATAATTCACCCAAACATCTGTTAACGTTTGCACGGCAAACGTTTCCAGCGTACCAAGCAAGGCCTAAGACGCTAATCACTAGCAATGAATGTGTAACAAGCACATAGACACCACCAAGGTCATCAAAGGAGTCGCCACCATGGACGAAGATAAGTCGTTACTACGAACGAAGAAAGATCTACTACCACGGCTGAAGAACAGCTACTGACTCCAACATAATTAATTACATGGGCCAAACCTTGTGGCAATACCACGACTTGTAAGGTTTGAATACACAACCTCCTAAGAGGGACACAAACCAACCGAGCAAGCAGTTGGTTTTTGCCTATTTTGAAATATTTGTATAGATTTTGAATCAAAATATTATTAAAAAAATGTGTTTGGTCATTCCTTGTTTAATTAAAGCACGACGGAATCCCATATTAAAACTAACCATACTCAAAAAGCACGGCAGACCAAGTATCCCTAACTTCTGCTATTACGTAGTATATGCATATAGGGGTTTACATTCATGTTTTTTTTATGAGGGACTAATGCCCAAGTTACAACAAGGCTTAGATACACCACAATAGGCATGTGAGAAGCACATAAACTGCCTTTAAACATCATCTTTGACAGAGGTCTCCATCAACGGACAGACACAGCAGATGGCACCAACAACAGGTGCAGGGAAGGGCACCCACCAACGGATGCAAGAAAGGGCACCACCAACAGGTGCAAGAAAGGGCACTACTAACGGGCGCAACTAGGGGTGTCAACGGGACGGTTTCGGATCGGAACCTAAAGGTTCCAGATCCGGTCCCATTAACATAAAGCGGTTCCGGATCCTTTCGGTTTCGGTACCGGAACCTCAATTGGTGGTTCCGGATCCGGTACCGCTAGGATCCGCGGGTATCCGATACCCGTTTTTAATTATTATTTTTAA